ATATATATATATATATATATATATATATATATATGTGTGTGTATATATACACACCAAATATACAAAATATACAAAGTCAAAGGGCAAAATTTATTTATTTGTCGTTTACCAAAACTGTTTAACTATTACATCGAACAAAAGCTAAAATTGTAAATAAAAACAGTAATAATACGTAAGATATGATCTAAGAAATATGCTAAGCACTAATAGTACATAATATGTCAAACAGAGTAAATGAGTTTGCAGATGAGTTTGAACACAGCAACATGAAATAAATCAGCAGCATGAAATAAATCAGCAGCGTGAGATCAGCAACATGGATATCAATTCAACAATCAAGCAGAATTACATAATTAATTTTTAATTACATTAATTGAAACTTAAACCAAATACTCAGTTTAAAAGTTCTGGTCCAGACCCAGGTGTGTGTTACTGACACGAGTTCTCAGGGACCGCACCCCAAACATCAGTGTGTGGAGGAGTCCAGTGAAGCAGCCACGGGCGTCTGGAGACGAGTACAGTGATGTGGAGAAACCAGACAGTTGTCCTCTGTAGAGACAAAACACATGTGAGAGTCTCTCAACCTACAACCTATAAAACAAAAGTCAATCAACTTATTAAAGTCAGTCAGCTGATCTCTATCAAAGGTTTTCAACTTGAAGCTGACCATGTGAGTCGGGACTCAACTACTCACCTGCTGACACACACCTGCAGACTCACACACACACGGGAAGGAAGAGGAGGAAAGCAGCAAGCTTGGTGTTCACCTGCAGTCACACCAGGATTTACACTATAAACATCAACTGTAGCACACAGAGAGGACACCTGCCCCACCCCACCAAGACCAGAACAGCATGCACAACACGATCTGCTGCTCAGCCAAAACCAAACCCCACACGGGCTGCGAGCCACGTAGTGGGAGCAAGAAGAAACCAGCTGCCAGAACAATCACCGCTGCCTCCTCTTACACTCTGTACACCTCATTTAACGAGAAGTGACGTGTCTCTGGCCACGTATATTTCTATACTTCTAACTAATAAAAACAACTATTAATAATTTCTCTCTACTTCATACAGTGCTCTTTGGTGTGTTGTGTATATAGTACGCACCTCGGCTCAAATCTTTGCAATTTAGAGCCAAACATATTTCAACTGCGTGACTTCTGAATTTGTCACGCCGCCACGCCCACATCCTCCAGCTAAAACAGTCTGTAATTTAAATCAAGTCAGACCAACATGTTATATGTCTTCTAACACAGGATCATCCTCATTAGGTCAAGGGTGTCAAAGAGGGAGCATTCCAAGTAAAAAAAAATAACTTCCTGTTCTGAGGGGGCGGGGCTTTGCTTACGTCCAAATATGACCATAGAGAATCGTCGGGCATCCAACAGGGATGACTCCTGCCAAGCTTGGTGCATTTTGGTCTTTCAACGTGAAAGTTATAGCGTTTGGAAATTAATGGCGTAAAGTGCAACTTTGAGGCCTGGCCACGCCCCTTTAACATATACGAAAACGCAAGCTTTTGATAAATTTTACTCCCCATTGTTTTAAGGGCATATTAACCAAGTTTGAAGGCAATCCTTCCAAATCCCTAGGAGGAGTTTGTTAAAACTTGCAATTAGAAATGCCCAAAAATGACACTTTGACCCAAAATGGCCGACTTCCTGTTGAGTGTGGACCAGGGCTCCAAGAGACTTTTTCATAGGTCCTGAGAAGATACAGATGTTCACCGAATTTCAGAATTATCGGTCATAAATTGGCTTGGGGCTTAAGTTTTAAACTATTCTAGGGGGCGCTGTGGAGGCTATTGGCCACTTATTATTGATTCCTGTTGAAGGGATGGATCATGATCAATCAAACTAATTTTGGTGCACCTCAGCTCAAATCTTTGGAATTTAGAGCCAAATGTATGGCGACGGTGTTACGTCTTACTTCGCCACGCCGTGCCACCCAGATGCTCCACCCAAATCTGTCAGTGTTGGAAAGCAAGTTACACCAACATGTCTTCTGTCACTGGACACACCATCATGCTGATCAGGTCACAGGGGTCAGATAGGGACCATTCAACGTAAAACATTACACTTCCTGTTGTTAGGGGCGTGGCTTAAGTGATGTCATGATTTGATCATTCAGTCTTGCAGGGGACCGGATTTGGATCAATCACGGAAGGTTTCATGTCTCAGACAGTTTTCGTGTAGGAGCTCTTAGCGTTTTGTTTTTCATGGCGAGATGTCAAACTTTGAGTTCTGGCCCCGCCCCTTCGGCATGCTCCGAAATGCACCGTTTGGATAATTTTTTGTCCCAAAATGGTCAAACGGCATGTTTTGAAACCGATTAAGAGAAATCCCTAGAAGGAGTTTGTTCAAATGCGGATGCTGTAAAACTGTCAAAAAGGTGTGAAATTTGTTACGGCATTCTAAAATGATCGCCTTCCTGTGACATCCAACAATAAAATGTAAAAGAAAAACAGTAATAACATCTGAGATATAAACTACGAAAAACATCAACTAAAAATAAACTAAGCACTAATAGCATAAAAACATTACATCGAACAGCAGCACGAACATGAGCATGAGTCTCTGTGAGCAGATCAGCACGCATGAACACATCAACATGAAACAGATCAGCAGCAACATGAAACAGATCAGCAGCAACATGAAACAGATCAGCGGCAACATGATGTGGTTTTTCACAGTGATTATTCTGGTTAGAGATTCATGAGTCTAACAGCCTCAGGGTAGAAGCTGTTCCTCAGTCTAGTGGTTCTACACTTAATGCTCCTTAACCTCCTTCCTGAGGGGAGCGGGGCAAAAAGTGTGTGTGCTGGGTGGGTGTGGTCCTTCATGATGCAGGTGGTCCTCTTCCTGCATCTGGAGGTGTAGATGTCTGTGATGGTAGGGAGGCTGACTCCAACATCTTCTGTGCAGCCTTCACCACTCTCTGCAAAGCTTTTCTTTCTGCAGCTGTGCAGCCTCCATGACACACGTTGATGCTTAAATGCGGGGCCCAAACTGATCCAAGAGAGGGGACTACCTAAACCCAACCCGAGACATAAACAGACACACAGAGACAGCCCGACAGAGCCTCTGTTGGGCCGTCCATGCGCCCCACCTACCCGACAGTAACCACAAGTCGGTCCCAGGCAGGGGGCCAGAGCAGCAGGGAGCAGCAGCTGAGGAAGGCCGGCCCAGCGCACCAAGGACCAGGAACCCAACAGCCCCACACCACAGGCCCGGAGAAGCCCCGGCATGCCACCTACGCACCCCCCTATACACACAACACCCCCACTGTGAATATCACACCAGGCCGACAAGCCAGTGCCCCATCAAAGCAAAGCCACGCCCCTGACCGCCGCCATACACCACCATTGGCCACACACACACAACCACAGCCGACCTCCCGCCGAAACCCGGCAGCCACCCCAGCCAAAAGGCTGGCCATCGCAACCAGGAACCTTGATCAAAAAATTTGAATAACCCAGGGAGAACCAGAGCACCGGCCCCGCCCCCAACCGCCCCGCCAAGGCCCAACATCCACCCACAGCCCAGACCCCAACCAGGCGGCCGGTGGCTCAGTTGGTAGATCTGTTGCCTCTCAGCAAGGAAGTTGTTGGCATGAATTCCGGCCCGAGAACTTTCTGGGTGGAGTTTGCATGTTCTCTTCGTGTTGCATGAGTTTTCACCGGGTACTCCGGTTTCCACCCACAGACCAAAAACATGCATGTTAGACCGATTGGTGACTCTAAATTGTCTCTAGGTGAGAGAGAGAGAGTGAATGGTTGTTTGTGTTGTTGTGATGGACCAGTCCAGGGTGTCCCCTCTTGCACAGTAACTGCTGGATATGGGCACCAATTACCCCTGTGACCCGCAAAGGAAGAAGCAGGTAAAGATAATGGATGGATGGATGGATGGATGGATGGCTACAACACTGTTGTTTCTTAACATCAAATGATCATCGTCTGAAATGCGGATGTTGATATGGATGCATTCTTCCAGGGATTAGTATTTTTCAGCATTGTTTTAACCTTCTTAGCTGAGAAACTCAGAGTCCAGCATCCCTTTAAAGTTTAAATGAATGCTGGATTTTTAGTTTTTTTGTGTCAATAAAAAGAACTGATCTTGTGGAGTCTGACCTTAAACACAAATCTACTTCACTGCTATTTTTAGGCGGACAGAAAATGATTTAAGGAAACTACAACAACCATGATGCACGGCGGTAATGACGCCTCCCACTGTGATTGGCTGACGTTCCTTCCCCTCGCTGCACGGTTGAAGGTGAAGTTATCGTTTAGTTGTCTCGCCTAAAATGTCAACTAGTAGGTTTTTAACCATGCACGCTCACATGTGTAAGCGACTGGTAAGTGAACGTTTATAAATATACAAAAATAAATTGTTTATTTGCACAGGAAGGGTAAACTTATTCAGAATTTGTCTGGCCGTATTTTACTTAGTTCAAGCAGCTTTGCTAACTCCTGCGAATCGTCCTTCACCAGCCTTAAAAGCAGTTTTATTATACTCTTAGTAGAATGTGCCAAATTAATTTTCCTACCAGTCAACGTATTTCAGCCAGTACCCTGTTGTCGGTGAAACAACCGGGAGCTAAAGCTACTAGAAAAAGGCACCGTGTGAAACTTCAGCTGTGTTGTGTAGCTAACATGCTGCTAGCTGTCCTGATGCTGCTCAATAATCCAGGTAGAAAAATCCAAAAAAGTTCAATCTGGTCCTCTGGACATTCAAAAAAAAAAACAAAAAAAAAAACAACCAAAAAACAAAACAAAGCAAAAAAATTCTAGAAACGTTTCGTCTCTCATCCAAGAGACTTCCTCAGTCTGAGGGGCTGTATTCAGCTCAGTCTCTTAAATAGCACCTTCTCAGAGTGGATCAACCAGTTTGCTGCTGACAACCAGAACCAGCTGATCACATGCTCAAGAAGGACCATCAGCCTAACAATGGATCATTAGCACCTGATGGCTGTTTACTGTTCACAGAGGGCTGAGTGATACTAGCAATCACAGCATTGTAAGAGGGGGACAGTTGAACCTGGAGGCTCCGCCCCTGTTTAATGATGGACGGTTTCTTTTCACAAAGATGGCCTCCTTTACTCCTCTCTCAAACCATCGTTCCTCTCTGTCCAGGATGTGAACATCTTCATCCCTGAAAGAGTGACCGCTGGCCTGGAGATGAGTGTAGACCTGAGTCCTGGCCTGATGATGTTGAAAGTCTGCACAAAATATATATCAATAAATCCACCACAAATACTAAAGTGCAGGTGATGTTTCCCAAAATAACTAAATAAAATAAAGCTTAAGATCTGTTCAGCATAAATGCAACAAAATATATGTTTCCTTTAAATGAGCTATAACTTCCAGAACTTGTAACTTGCTGTACGGCTGACACTGAAACACTTCCTCTCGGGCTTGCGCAGGAAGCATGTTCTGGTGTGGTCCGACAGTACTTTGGTGGTTTTTCATGTCACCCATCAAGGGGGAACACAGTTGCTGACATTGCTGCTGCTGACCCAGAAGCTTTTACCTTTGGCAGCCCCCCTTTTTGCCAACCTGAGGGCAGTCCACATTCCAGGGGTGTAGAATGGGCCAGCCGATTTTCTGTCTCGAGGATGCCTACCACCTGGGGAGTGAAGACTCCATTCGGAGGTGGTGAGAGTAATTTGGAAGAGGTACGGCAAGGCAGCTGTGGACCTGTTTGCATCCCAAGAGACAACAAACTGCCCCTTTTGGCTCTCTCTGGTAGGCAGTGCTAGTCCCCACAGAAAGGACCTTCTGTCACAGTTGGGGGGTCAAATCCTACACCCCGATCCCAGTCACCTCCAGCTCTGGGCTTGGTCGTTACAGGGCCCAGCATTACCTTCTCAGAATATGATGGGAAGGTTGGACATACAATGAATAATGCCAGGGTCCCTTCCACATGACTGATGTACACACATAAGTGGAAAGTTTTTAGCAATTGGTGTTGTGCTAGACACGAGGACCCTGTACACTGTTCTCTTTCTGTTATTCTTACCTTCCTTCAGGTGCTACTTTCTCAGGGCTGGTTTCTGTCCACTCTGAAAGTTTATGTCGCTGCCACCTCTTGCTGGCATGCGTTGGTAGGTGGGAAGACAGTAGGTCATAACAAGGATGTGTCCTTGTTTCTGAGAAATGCCAGACGTCTGCAAACACACATGCGCCTTGTCATGCCTGTGTGGGATCTCTGATCCTCGCTGCCCTGCGGTCTGCTCCGTTTGAGCTCTTGGCATAGGTGAGCCTTGAGTGCTTGTCTAAAAAGACCACGTTTCTCCTGGTCATGACTTCGGCCAAACGAGTAGGTGAACTCCATGCGTTGTCTGTTCACGAGTACTGTTGCCATTGGAACCTGGCTGGTTCAGGTGTTACTCTCTGGCCTAACGTAGTGTTCCTCCCTAAGGCGGCCTCATCTGCGACCCACTCTCTGCCTCTCCAGCTTGCTCACTTCAATGCAGATGATGCTGATGAGTTTCTCTGCCCTGTTCGGGCACTGGAAGCGTACATCAGATAGCTTCTCTGCGGCAGTCTGATAATATATTTGCTATGCTGGGCCTCGCAAGCCCTTTTGAATCAGCGCCTTGCGCGCTGGATTGTAGACATGGTAGAATGTGTGTACACTCTACAGGGCCACCGACCAGCTGTGGGGGTAAGATGCCATTCCACCAGGAGCGTTGGTGTGTCATGGGCCGCTATGAATTGGTCACTCTGGAGGCTATATGTGCAGCAGCCTCCTGGTCATCCCTAAATACCTTTGCTAGGTTCTACAGAGTAAACCTTGCTGCCTTTCACTCGTTGGAGGGGATCCTATCACAGCACCGTCTACGTTTCAGTAAGGTGGGCATTCTAAGTTTTGTTTCTTCTTTGTGGGTGTGATTCCTTAGGATTCTGTTGGCAATCGTCATCTAGTGCTTTACGCACCGCCTCTGGTGGTCAGTAGGGATGAAATAGAATGACTGTAACTACAGTTCTATGAATCCCGGATGACCGCCAGAGCGCTCGGTCCCTCGGAATCATCACATTTCGTGAGAAGATTAAGGGACTGGGCTACCTTAATCACATGCTTATATTGACTCACCGGTGTCACTGGGGGTCACATGTGACTATGTTGGCATAAAATACTTGACCTGCACAAGAATGATCATTCAGTGCTTTAAGCACCGCCTCTGGCGGGATTCATAGTACCGTACTAACAGTCGTAACTTTCGTTATTCTGTCATCGTAGGCTCACAGGTATTTTTTAAGAAGCTACACATCTCACTCTTCACTTAATGTAAGTACACTGATGGAAACTGAAGTCAGTTATCATGTTTGCACTTCTCTGGATGTGTAGATTTATTCATGTTTGATTGCAGGAAGTTGTCATTGTCAGTGCAGTCCGCACTCCAATAGGCTCCTTCAAAGGGAGCCTGGCGGCAGTTCCAGCCACCAAACTGGGCTCCGTCGCCATTAAGGCAGCTGTAGAGAAAGCAGGTGAGTTCATATAGTTTTTGTTCTGTTAAAGCTATAAAAGCTGTCAAAATATGCTACTTTTCAATGTTCTTGACCAAAATGTTTATACTTTTAACACAATTTCTCCATCATTATATGATTGTTTGGGGATAATGTAACTGAAACTCATCTGTGTTTTTATAAAAATTAAGTTAAACACCAATTATTCTTACTGTTTGTTGTCTCCAGTAGCTGAGGAAAAACGGGGAATTGTAAATACCCTCCCTATGATCGTCCACGAATGCTGTTTGCGTAATAACTTGAAAAACAAATAAGGTGTTGACTTCCATTTTGCTATGTGGATGCATCTAGGTGTAAGAAAGGGTACTTTTGAAAATTATGTTGCCAGGCCAAAATCAAAGATGGCCACCACCACCATATATTTTTTTTTGGTCAGGTCATCTGGACAGTTTCTTTTTTTTTTGTGCTGAAACGTTTCGCCTTCGTTCCGGAAGGCTTTATCAGTCAAGGAAACACACAACAAAACTGATTATTCCCCCAACAGCTTACTCCAAAGTGGAACAAACCAGTTCTCCTTGTGATAAGATGGTCTCTTTGGTACGCCCCCTCCTCCATTACCAATCGTATTGTTTTTATGAAAGTAATCGTGAAAATGAATGAGCTGTTGTAATTCAGTGAATATACGCTCATTAACCTTGCTTCCTGTTCCAGGCTGCTCCTGCCACTCCTTCATGATCGGTTGTTGCATTGAAGATACTGACTTTATGCTTTGAGTTCAGGAATTCCTCCTGAAGAGGTGAAGGAAGTTTACATGGGCAACGTGCTTCAAGCAGGACAAGGACAAGCTCCCACACGACAGGCTTTGCTCGGAGCAGGTATGATCCTGCTCACCTTTACTCTTTATTAACTACCAAACTTGTGATGGGTTTTTAAGATCAGGCTTCTTACAGCTTGTGCTAGCATTATTTCCAGCTTTCAAAGAGGATCATTTTTGCCTAATAATACTTCAAATTATAAGATGGAGGGTCTCAAACTTATTGAAATACAATGCTTTGACTGACTTTTCTTTTCAGGCTTGACCTTCAGCACTCCAGCAACGACTATTAACAAAGTGTGTGCATCTGGGATGAAGTCCATCATGATGGCAGCCCAGAGTCTGATGTGTGGACACCAGGTAATATTTACACGCAAACCTTGTCATAAAGACTGCATTCTTTCCCCACATACAGTGAGACATTTTTCCAACATGAACAATAAGGTTGTTTGGGATTTTGTATTGACCAAATATAACTCTACACCTTAATAAGCTGACACCATGAAAATAGGGAACTAGGCCTGTCACGATAACAAATTTTGCTTGGGGATTAATTATCTCAGAAATTATTGCGATACATGATACTATTGTTTGAAATTTGACAATAATTAGTAATTGTCAAATTTAAGAAGAAAACAAAGTCCATGCTCAATAATCTAGGTATACAATCCAACAATTTTCAGTCCGGTCATCTGGATAGTTTCTTTTTTTGTGCTGAAACGTTTCACCTTCCATGCCGAAGGCTTCATCAGTCAAGGAAACGCACAACACAAAACGTTGGTTATGTATCGTAACCCCAGATTCTATGAACGTAAGCGTAGCCCTTTAAAAGCTGTCACTATTGGGTTTACCCACGCGCAGCACGCCAAACACTGAAAACTTCTAGTCTACGTCCACCTGCTGTATGGGCCCCACCCAGTCCGTTATAAATTGCATCTGGACCGGAGCTCTACTCCTAAAGGCTTACTCTTTTTCTTCAGCCTTTTGAGAGCCAGTGAGGCCCAGTTTTTAAAGGGCTATGCTTACACTCATAGAATCTGGGGTTACAATACGTAACCAATGTTCTATTTCATGTAAGCTACGCCCTTTAAAAGCTGTCCCTATTGGGTTTAAAGGGCAGAGCAGAATATGGTCCATGCCTCACTGGGTCTGACCGAGAACCATCAAAAACACCCAGATATCCGCCTAAACCTTTTTTTTTATTCAAGCATAATTACGTACCTGCTTGAGGGCCCCATCACGATGAACATGCTGTTCGGGGCCAATTTCAAGGCCATACTTGAAAAGTCGAAGAAGTCGGAGGAGGTGTTGGAGACTGTGCGCCACCTGATGAAGCCGCCCCCCTCCTCCCGCCCCCCCGCCCGCTGGAGAGATCGTCGTGGCCAGAGGCAGCAGCAGAGACGTTCCACAGCTGCAGCAGTGACCTCCCGCCCCGCTTCGCCGCCGCCCCCTCCCGCCAGAGAACAGTCCTTCTCATCGCGGCAACCAGCGACTCAGCGTTTCCCCAGAGACCGCCAACAGGCGCCGCCCTGGAACAACAAGTCGCAGGGCTCACGGGGGAGAAGACACAAGAAATGACTCTTTGCAGAGGATGTGTGTATGCATAATGATGATATGAGTTTTAAAATAAAAGGAAAACATCATTCAGAGAATAAAGTGTCTTCTGATTCTAGCCTGACTGTCAGATCGAATGATCTCACAGCGGCTTCTCTTCACACATTCCCCACACAAAACGAGCTGATAACCTCAAAACAGGTTTTTAAAAGTCCCCGCAGCTCGAGAAACCACACAAAATGCTCGCTTGACACAGCAGCTAGAAATGATTCTTTTCAGCAGACCGAGCACAGAAAAAAACCTCGCTCTCAGCCCAGGTTGTGTTCTGACTTTTCTGACCGCAGCGGGAAAAAACGCGTTTCCCCACGGCAACTGCAATCTCCACTCAAACGGCATCGCATTTCTAAAGGCGCTCACGCCTCTCAGTGCGCGTCAGCTCACATAAACTCTGATGTTTGCCCGCAGCCTGAGCGCAACACAGAGGCATTCCCAGAGCCCTTTCGGCGAGGCCTCCCCATGGGTCGCTCGAGGAGTATCTCCAGAGCATATGACAGCGGTGGAGGCCTTAGCTTGGTTAACGTCCATAAAGGACATGACACAACACAAAAACACGTGCCCGCTCCCAGAGCGTTATGCAGAGTGGCAGCGAGTGTGTTCCCTGGACAGATGGATCAACCGTCTTATCAGCAGAGGTTACACGCTGCAGTTCACAGCTCAACCCCACCGTTCAGAGGAATTACAGAGACGGTTCTGTCATCTCCAGAACAGATCTCGTCTCTTCACTCAGAAGTTCAGGAATTACTGATAAAAATGTAATTTCCAGGGTTCCCAACGGAGAGCAAAACACAGGGTTTTACTCGCGTTACTTCCTGGTTCTGAAGAGGATCGGAGGGATGAGATCCATTCTGGACCTATCCATATTCAACAATTCGATCATGGAGAGACAGTTCCACATGCTGACAGTCAAACAGCTGTTGGATAACATTCACCAGAACAATTGGTTTACCTCCATAGATCTAAAAGACGCCTATTTTCACATACCAATCATTCCAAAACACAAAGTTCCTGCGTTTCTCCTTCCAAGGGACCCAGTACCAGTACAACAGGCTCCCATTTGGCTATTCCCTCACCCCACGCACGTTTTTGAAATGCGTTGAGACAGCTCTGCAGCCACTACATGGAACAGGGATGAGAATTTTGTTTTATCTGGACGATCTGCTGCTGTGAACTCAATCCAGGCAGGAAGCAGCTGCGCAAACCAAAGTGCTAACGTCACACCTGTTAAACCTGGGTTTCGTCATAAACTGGGAGAAGAGTTTGGTTCTCCCAGCCCAGATGATCATTTATCTGGGAGTGGAGCTAAACTCAGTCACTATGAGAGCCCGCTTATCACAGCCAAGAGCCGAAGCTCTAAAGGACCAGCTCCACCGTGTAAAACCCAGCAGAGTAGTAACGGCCGTCTCTATCATGAAACTTTTAGATACGATGTCCTAAGTTCACGCTGTGGTTCCACTGGGCTTACTCCACATAAGACGCATTAAGAGATGGTTCGCTCGCCTGCGCATAGATCTGGTACGTCAGAAGAGGCGGATGATCTCCGTGCCCCCCTCCGTGGGAACCGACCGGAATCACTGGGGAAAACCTCTCACTCTGTCAGAGGGAGTTCTTATCAGCAGACCTACGTCACACATCTCAGTTTTCACAGACACGTCCCTGTCAGGCTGGGGAGGAACATGCCTGTCTCAAGGGGTGGGGGCGCTGTGGCCACCTCACACATCAGCTCATATAAACATTTTGGAATGTCTCACAGTTTGGCATGTGATTCAGCATTTTGCTCCCCTGTTACGGAATCAACATGTTCTGATCCACGCAGACAACAAAGTGACTGCAGCTTACATAAACCGACAGGGGGGCGTGCGTTCAGCCCAACTGTTACGCATTGCGAGACCGCTGTTGTGTTGGGCACACAAAAACCTGCTCTCCTTCGGAGCAGTGTACATCCCCGGCGTCCTGAACAGAGGAGCGGACATGATGTCCTGGGGCGGTCCGCGTCACGGGGACTGGAGTCTCCATCCTGAGCTGATTTCTCGGTTTTTGGAGGGGATACGGCTGAGCAGCAGTGCATCTGTTCGCCACACGGGAGAACACCCAGTGTCAATTATGGTTCTTACTGAGCCCACTGGACGACCTACCGTTAGGAGTGGATGCTTTTGCCCACAGCCCGTGGCCAAAAGTGCTCCTTTACGCGTTTCCTCCAGTCCCTCTAATATCACGGTTTCTGAACCAAGTCCGGGAGGAAGAACTGTCAACCATTCTTGTAGCCCCAGAGTGTGTGAGTGCCCCGTGGTTCCCAATCCTGCAACATCTGTTATTGGGTCGACTGTGGAAACTGCCGTGAAGGGACGATGCTCTCCTCCAGGCGGGAGGAGCGATCATAAGTCACCCAAAAATAGGCCAGCAGCTTTGGGTCTGGCCGCTGAGCGACCGGTGTCACGCCCACTAGCTCCACAGTGGGACCTAACGATGGTTCTGCGAGCTCTGATCAAAGCTCCTTTTGAGCCTTTAGATCGTGTCACTTAAATTCCTGTCACTTAAAACAGCCCTGCTGTCGGCTTTGACATCAGCGAAGAGAGTGAGCGATTTAGCTGTACTCTCTGTTGCCCCGTCATGCCTCACGATTCAGGCTGATGGCAGCTCAGCTGCGCTGAGACCTAACCCAGCTTTCATGCCCCAAAACATCACAAGTTCATTTAAATCGAGAATGATATCATTGGAGGGGTTTTACCCCCCCCTCACAAATCAGAGGAAGAAGCATCTTTTCATCTCCTCTGTCCTATGCATGCGCTGGCATGTTGCATAACACGCACGGCTCCTCTGCGGCAGACTCAGAGTCTGTTTGTGCATTATAGGGACGTCTCTGCATGTCGCCCGTTATCCATTCAGCATTTTTCACACTGGCTGTGTAAGGCCATTTCTGAAGCTTACAGGGCATCAGGATTGGAGCCTCCAGAGAGTCTCAGAGCTCAATCCACCTGAGGAATTGTATCTTCGACAGCTTTGCATAGTGGTATGACAGTGGAGGACATTTGTATTTGCGGCCGCTTGGACGTCGCCTTGTTCATTTATCCGCTTCTATCTGCGTGATGTTTCGCCTTTCTCCATGGCCTATTCTTTTAGTGTTCTAACAGAATGAATCTTACTGTTTTCCTGGAATTTAGTTTTTAAACTCACATCTGACTGCATGCAGTTACAGTGTGAGACATTTATTATCAGTCACAAGTTCATGACTGCTCTTTTTATTGTTACTAATCGGTTCATGACTACTGTTACCAATCAGTTTATTTGATTACTAATCAATTAATTTGTTATTAATCAGTTCATATTGAAGAGCAGTTGATCTATTCTGCTCACTGTTACACGGTTACAATTGTAACCTCTGTTCTTTCCCATTCTCGGCAGCAGGACTGCTTTCAGCCTTCCCCCTTTTTCCCCCGTCAAAAACTTTTTCTCTCCGGGGTGCTCCTGTGCATGCAACGCGTAATTATGCAACGCGCTCCTGTGCATGGTATGCGTAGTAATTATGCACACAGAAGGCTGAGTGATGAAATGTTTTTTTGGTGCAAGTGGGCGCTTCATATTGTGTCTGAATGGACCCAGTGAGGCATAGACTACATCCTGCTTCGCCTTTAACCCACAAGCGACAACCTTAAAGGGCGAAGCCTATATGAAATAGAACGTTGGTTACGTACTGTAACCCCAGGTTCTATGAGTATAGTCGTAGCGCTTTAAGCTCTGGGCCTCACTGGTTCCTAAATAGCTGAAGAAAAAGCTATTTGGGAGCCAATTACCTGGTCTCACCGTAATTTATACGGACCGGGGGTGAGGCCCACACAGCAGGTGGGTGTGGACTAAAGTTTTCAGTGCAAATGTTGGGAGTTGACACAAGCCACCTGGGAGACACCAAACATGTGGAAGAAGGTGCTCTGGTCAGATGAAACCAAAATTGAACTGTTTGGTCACAATGCAAAACGACATGTTTGGAGTAAAAGCACCACAGCTCATCACCCTGAACACACCACCCCCACGGTCAAACATGGTGGTGGCAGCATCATGGTTTGGGCCTGATTTTTGTCAGCAGGGACAGGGAAGATGGTCAGAATTGATGGGAAGATGGATGGGGCCAAATACAGGACCATTCTGGAAGAAAACCTGTGAGTCTGCAAGAGACCTGAGACTGGGACGGAGATTTATCTTCCAACAAGACAATGATCCAAAACATAAAGACACATCTACAATGGAATGGTTCACAAATAAACGTATCCAGGTGTTGGAATGGCCAAGTCAAAGTCCAGACCTGAATCCAATCGAGAATCTGTGGAAAGAGTTGAAGACTGCTGTTCACAAACGCTCTCCATCCAACCTCACTGAGCTCCAGCTGTTCTGCAGGAAGAATGGGCAGAACTTCAGTGTCTCCATGTTCAAAACTGACAGAGACAAACCCCAAGAGACTTGCAGCTGGAACTGCAGCTGGAACTGCAGCAAAAGGCGGCACTACAAAGTGTTAACGCAAGGGGGCCGAATAATATTGCATGCCCCACTTTTCAGTTTTTTATTGTTAAAAAAGTTTGACACATCCAATAAATTTCATTCCACTTCACGATTGTGTCCCACTTGTTGTTGATTCTTCACAAAAAATTAAAATTTTATATCTTTATGTTTGAAGCCTGAAATGTGGCAAAAGGTTGAAAAGTTCAAGGGGGCCGAATACTTTCGCAAGGCACTGTATATTTAGACATTTGATTAAGTTAATATATTATCTGGTAAATTACATTTCATCATATAAATAGCATAGCAGGCTGCTGAAGTTCAAGTCTCCGAATATGCTTAATATGCATAGTCAAGGACATGACTGTCGACAAGGGAGAGGGCCGGCACCGGAGGTGGGGGCGTGCCAAAGAGACCATCTTAGCACCAACATAACTGGTTTGTTCCACTTTGGAGTAAGCTGTTAGGGGAAGAATCAGTTTTGTTTTATGTTTTTCCTTGACTGATGAAGCCTTCTGGATGGAAGGTGAAATGTTTCAGCACACAAAAAAAAAAAGAAACTGTCCAGATGACCTAACTGAAAATTGTTGGATATTTAAGTTTAATGCAAGAAATCATGGACTGGGTTCCTATTGACTTGTAGTTCAGTCTGGACTTTTAGAATTGCTGCATTACAGCAACCTCAGCATTGTGGTTGTATACTTGAATGCTGGTTTTGTTATATGTGTGCATTTAGGATGTGATGGTGGCAGGAGGCATGGAAAGCATGTCCAATGTGCCCTATGTGATGGCCAGAGAGACACCACAATACGGAGGAATTAAGTTGGAAGACCTCATTGTTAGCGACGGCCTCACTGATGTCTACAACAAATTTCACATGGTAACGGCCAACTGTTGTAGTCAAAGTTGCTTTGCAGGGAACTTTTTAAAACTTTATTTCTACAGCATCTGAATTCCACTGTCTTTGTTTATAAAAGGGCAACTGTGCTGAGAACACAGCCAAGAACTGTAACATCACTAGAGAGGAGCAGGACGCCTATGCCATCAACTCATACACTCGTAGCAAAACAGCACATGAGACTGGCATGCTGGCCAAGGAGATTATACCAGTTAGCATACCACAGAGAAGTATGTAACAAAGAGATGTCTTTTTTCTGTTTGGCGGGTGATTACCAAGTACAATGCTATTAATGTATTTGTGGTCTAATAGACAAACCTGGTGTGGTGGTGTCGGAGGATGAGGAGTGGAGGCGGGTCGACTTCAGCAAAGTTCCTAAGCTGAAAGCAGTTTTCCAGAAAGAGAATGGTAAAGATGAGCAGTCGGAGATCAACCCTTAGCTGTTTTTATTAGCCGAATAATAAAATAATGTTGTTAGAAAACAGATCATTCCTGCACATTGGTTTTCCCTTTCTGTCTTGATCAAATTTAGTTTTTGTAAGACCTGTTAATTTTAGTCCTAGTGAGTTCAAGCAAAGGCACATGGACCAGTCGATAACTTTTATCTGCCAAAGACAATTAAAATGTTTGACATCTACAATTTATTAACTTTTCAAATCAAACTAATACAAGATGGCTGCCATAGCAAATCAATCTTGGCAAACATAAAAACTGCAACAGCACATTCAGTTTTACAGCTACTGAGCTACAATTTGGTGTGGTAGTAGGTCAGACCAGTGGGTCAGACCAGTGGGTCAGACCAGTACTTAACTCTGAGTGCCAACTTATTGCGGAAGGTCTTTGTTTACAACTTTGCCATTACTTGTTGGAATCATCTCTGTTTTGTCAGTAAATTTCTCATGAACCAATAAATACAATTAAATGAAACTCTGTTTGGCACTGAAGAAACATCTATAATTCAGCCAATTTTACAGGTACTTAGCTAAAATTTAGCTTGTGAGCAGTCCCCAATACATACCAATACTATGAGCACATGGAAGATGGTTTCGGTGGGATTGAGGAGGTCTTCAAAGTATTCTGCCCACTGACCCACGACATCCCGAGTTGAGGTCAGCAGCACACCACCCCCACTATTAACAGTGTTGGTGGCGTACCGCTTTCCCCCCC